TTCCTTCCATCCTGGTCCCTTATAATGTAGTAACTATGCTGATGGCTCTCATGATACCTGCCCTTGATTTAGACATGGTAGACAGTAGGGAGGTCACCTGGAGTCAGGGGCGTCCCGAGGCGGGGTGACACCACGCATTGACGTCATCGCGTACGAGCGTGATGACGTCACGTGCGGTACCGCTGTTACCTGCCGGCGGCCATCTTGGTGATGGGCGCCAGCAGAGAGAGGAGCGGACGTCACCCGGTGGGATAAGGTATGCCGCCGGGTCCCCTCCTCTCTCGAGCAAGTGTCGGGCTACGGGTCCTCGACCGAGTGCCTGACTTTTCAGAGGGGGGTGACACCAAAATGACTGTCAGTCCTTTTGGTGTCACCGCTCCAATGGTGTCACCCGGGTGCGGGCCGCACCCCCCTTGTGACGCATGGAGGATCCATTAAAATTTCTATGGGGCCCCAGGATCTGTAGTTCCGCCCCTTGCTGTAAGCATCTTAAAGAGACACATTTAGGCCCCCCTTACCCCTGAGACACCTTGCTAGCACTTCCGGCCCACTCCTGCCTTAATCACCGACACCAACATTACCCAATGACTCTGGGTTTGGGGGAGCGTGTGGCCTTCTCCTCTGTGATGGTGCTCAGGTCTACTATCAAATACCTAGGCCTGAGCTCTGTCCCATGACCAGGGTCTATTAGCAGATTCCTAGGCCTGGGCGCTGTCCCATGATCAGGGTCTACTAGCAGATTCCTAGGCTTGGGCGCTGTCCTATGACCAGGGTCTATTAGCAGATCCCTAGGCCTGGGCGCTGTCCCATGACCAGGGTCTATTAGCAGATCCCTAGGCCTGGGTGCTGTCCCATGACCAGGGTCTATTAGCAGATCCCTAGGCCTGGGTGCTGTCCCATGACCAGGGTCTATTAGCAGATCCCTAGGCCTGTGTGCTGTCCCATGACCAGGGTCTATTAGCAGATCCCCCGGCCTGGGTGCTGTCCTATGACCAGGGTCTATTAGCAGATCCCCAGGCCTGAGCACTGTCCTATGACCAGGGTCTATTAGCAGATCCCCAGGCCTGGGTGCTGTCCTATGACCAGGGTCTATTAGCAGATCCCTAGGCCTGAGCACTGTCCCATGACCAGGGTCTATTAGCAGATCCCTAGGCCTGAGCACTGTCCCATGACCAGGGGCTATTAGCAGATCCCTAGGCCTGGGCGCTGTCCCATGACCAGGGTCTATTAGCATATCCCTAGGCCTGGGCGCTGTCCCATGACCAGGGTCTATTAGCATATCCCTAGGCCTGGGTGCTGTCCCATGACCAGGGTCTATTAGCAGATCCCTAGGCCTGGGTGCTGTCCCATGACCAGGGTCTATTAGCAGATCCCCAGGCCTGGGTGCTGTCCTATGACCAGGGTCTATTAGCAGATCCCTAGGCCTGAGCACTGTCCCATGACCAAGGGGCCAGCCGATACTTGGGGGTTTTAATGCCGATTGTGGCGGCCCAGAGGAAGAGCTTACATGTTGACTATCAGGCTTTTGGGTGTGGGACCCTCTACAAATACGGTGACAACAGCTCTTTAAAGCCATGCCATAATTTGTGTCGTAGTCAGCGGTACAGTTGGCTTAAAATTGTGTCTTACCAGTATACAATAACGGGCGGTTATGCAAACGGTGTCACCTTCTCATGCAGCGTCCTCCTCCGTTGTCACTTTCCACCTTTCGGTATTGGTTGGGAACCTTCAAGGTATCCTCAGAGAGGAAAACAATACAAAACAAATGAATGCGTAATATTTATTTAGGAACTGGAGACCTGTTCAGACTTCAGAGTTCTCTGGTCTGCCTAATCAAACTGTGCACTTTTGATAGCCTGTCAATACTTTGTCTTTACAGGATCAGTCGCTGGGGAACTGGCAGATCAAACGCCAGATTGGAGAGGATAAGCCGATTATTTACCGATTCCCCCCCAGAGTCGTGCTGAAGGCCGGACAGACCCTGACGGTGAGTCCCAAATAGCTGCTGTTGGTATTGCTGCATGTTTGGGCTTTGGGCGCCCCCTAGTGTTCAGTGGAGGGAACTGCTCCAACCTGGCAAATGTGCTTCTCCGTCTGTTTCTTGGTGGGCTGGATGAAATCTTAGAAGAATAAATGTTTTTTTTAAAGTTCTGAATCATGATTTGTTTTATAATGTTCCATTTTATTTTGTTTTATCCACTGAAATGTAACATTGGATTGACAATATGTTTCTAATTATTATAATACAGTTATAATATAACTATGTTTATAGTTCTAAAACTGACATTGTGCTGGTAATAGTTCAAAAATTGAGATCTTCACATTTTGGGTGTTCTGGCTCCTCCCCTAATATAAAATAATTTATCAAATCTAGAAGGGATGGTGGGAGCCCCTCATAATGGGCACAGCAGGTGTACAGACCCGGGAACTCAGCTCAGGGATGGTGGGAGCCCCTCATAATGGGCACAGCAGGTGTACAGACCCGGGAACTCAGTACAGGGATGGTGGGAACCCCTCATAATGGGCACAGCAGGTGTACAGACCCGGGAACTCAGCACAGGGATGGTGGGAGCCCCTCATAATGGGCACAGCAGGTGTGCAGACCCGGGAACTCAGTACAGAGAGATGGTGGGAGCCCCTCATAATGGGCACAGCAGGTGGGCGGAGCCGGGAACTCAGCACAGCCATGGCGGGAGCTCCTCATAATGGGCACAGCGGGTGTACAGACCCGGGAACTCAGCACAGGGATGGTGGGAGCTCCTCATAACGGGCACAGCAGGTGTACAGACCCAGGAACTCAGCACAGGGATGGTGGGAGCTCCTCATAACGGGCACAGCAGGTGTACAGACCCAGGAACTCAGCACAGGGATGGTGGGAGCTCCTCATAACGGGCACAGCAGGTGTACAGACCCAGGAACTCAGCACAGGGATGGTGGGAGCTCCTCATAACGGGCACAGCAGGTGTACAGACCCAGGAACTCAGCACAGGGATGGTGGGAGCTCCTCATAACGGGCACAGCAGGTGTACAGACCCAGGAACTCAGCACAGGGATGGTGGGAGCTCCTCATAACGGGCACAGCAGGTGTACAGACCCAGGAACTCAGCACAGGGATGGTGGGAGCTCCTCATAACGGGCACAGCAGGTGTACAGACCCAGGAACTCAGCACAGGGATGGTGGGAGCTCCTCATAACGGGCACAGCAGGTGTACAGACCCAGGAACTCAGCACAGGGATGGTGGGAGCTCCTCATAACGGGCACAGCAGGTGTACAGACCCAGGAACTCAGCACAGGGATGGTGGGAGCTCCTCATAACGGGCACAGCAGGTGTACAGACCCAGGAACTCAGCACAGGGATGGTGGGAGCTCCTCATAACGGGCACAGCAGGTGTACAGACCCAGGAACTCAGCACAGGGATGGTGGGAGCTCCTCATAACGGGCACAGCAGGTGTACAGACCCAGGAACTCAGCACAGGGATGGTGGGAGCTCCTCATAACGGGCACAGCAGGTGTACAGACCCAGGAACTCAGCACAGGGATGGTGGGAGCTCCTCATAACGGGCACAGCAGGTGTACAGACCCAGGAACTCAGCACAGGGATGGTGGGAGCTCCTCATAACGGGCACAGCAGGTGTACAGACCCAGGAACTCAGCACAGGGATGGTGGGAGCTCCTCATAACGGGCACAGCAGGTGTACAGACCCAGGAACTCAGCACAGGGATGGTGGGAGCTCCTCATAACGGGCACAGCAGGTGTACAGACCCAGGAACTCAGCACAGGGATGGTGGGAGCTCCTCATAACGGGCACAGCAGGTGTACAGACCCAGGAACTCAGCACAGGGATGGTGGGAGCTCCTCATAACGGGCACAGCAGGTGTACAGACCCAGGAACTCAGCACAGGGATGGTGGGAGCTCCTCATAACGGGCACAGCAGGTGTACAGACCCAGGAACTCAGCACAGGGATGGTGGGAGCTCCTCATAACGGGCACAGCAGGTGTACAGACCCAGGAACTCAGCACAGGGATGGTGGGAGCTCCTCATAACGGGCACAGCAGGTGTACAGACCCAGGAACTCAGCACAGGGATGGTGGGAGCTCCTCATAACGGGCACAGCAGGTGTACAGACCCAGGAACTCAGCACAGGGATGGTGGGAGCTCCTCATAACGGGCACAGCAGGTGTACAGACCCAGGAACTCCTCCCAATGCTCACAATTTACATGCTGTACATTCACATCAGTCCCTGCCCTCAAGGAGCTTACAATCTAAGTTCTCTATCTCACAGGGCCAGTTTAAATGAGAGCCAATTAATCTCCCAGCATGTCTTTGGAGTGTGGGAGGAAACCCACACGGACACAGGGAGAACATGCAAACTCCATGCAGATAGTGTCCTGACCGGGATTTGAACCTGGGACCCCCCCACGCTGCAAGGCAGAAATGATAACCACTCCACCCAATTTTTAAAACCTAATAAACATTTTGTGTATGTTCTTGATTCCTCTGTTGTGTTTCATCCGTGTGTGTGGCCAGCTTGAGGAGTCATGTGACTAGCGGCGTGCAGCGATTGCCATGTCATACATCATGCTATGGAGAGTAAATGTTTCTCCTGTCCCATTCCTCTGCAGGTCTGGGCAGCCGGGGCCGGAGCCTCACACAACCCCCCCACCGACTTTGTCATGAAGTCCCCTAGTTCCTGGGGCACCGGAGACAGCATCCGCACCGCTCTGCTTACCTCCAGTGGTGAGGTGAGTGCACAGGGGGGGTACACGGGGGGCTCAGGGTGGGAAGTGATATAAAACACAATCGATATAAAATACATGTACTTGTAGGGGCGCAATGGGGGCAGTATCAGGTAGTGGTTTGCTTGTATAGTTATTCTCGAGGGGAAGTTGGGGTGAGATGTTGGTGTAGTAGTAGTCAGACAGGGTAATGATAGTAATTGGGGATTATTATGAAGAGACAATAATAGTAGTAGTAGTAGTAGTAGAAGACATAGTGGGGGTAACAGGTGATAAAGGTGGTGGGGCTAGAATGGGGATTGTGTAAGGGACAGGATAGGGATGGTGGAAGGAACAGGATGTGGGCAGTGTAAGGGAGAGGATGGTGGGGGTGGAAGGGGGAGGATGGGGGGGGTGTAAGGGGGAGGATGGGGCGGTGTAAGGGACAGGATGGGGGCGGTGTAAGGGACAGGATGGGGGCAGCGTAAGGGACAGGATGGTGTAAGGGACAGGATGGGGGCAGCGTAAGGGGCAAGATGGTGGTGGTGTAAGGGAGAGGATGGGGCAGTGTAAGGGAGAGGATGGTGGGGGTGTAAGGGAGAGGATGGGGCGGTGTAAGGGAGAGGATGGGGGCGGTGTAAGGGAGAGGATGGGGGCGGTGTAAGGGAGAGGATGGGGGCGGTGTAAGGGAGAGGATGGGGGCGGTGTAAGGGAGAGGATGGGGGCGGTGTAAGGGAGAGGATGGGGGCGGTGTAAGGGAGAGGATGGGGGCGGTGTAAGGGAGAGGATGGGGGCGGTGTAAGGGAGAGGATGGGGGCGGTGTAAGGGAGAGGATGGGGGCGGTGTAAGGGAGAGGATGGGGGCGGTGTAAGGGAGAGGATGGGGGCGGTGTAAGGGAGAGGATGGGGGCGGTGTAAGGGAGAGGATGGGGGCGGTGTAAGGGAGAGGATGGGGGCGGTGTAAGGGAGAGGATGGGGGCGGTGTAAGGGAGAGGATGGGGGCGGTGTAAGGGAGAGGATGGGGGCGGTGTAAGGGAGAGGATGGGGGCGGTGTAAGGGAGAGGATGGGGGCGGTGTAAGGGAGAGGATGGGGGCGGTGTAAGGGACAGGATGGGGGCAGCGTAAGGGGCAAGATGGTGGTGGTGTAAGGGAGAGGATGGTGGC